CAGCCCCTGTGTCCCCGCAGGCTGGCTGGGCCGACTCCCTGCTCTGGAAGGCGAACCAGTGGCTGATGATCCACATGTTCCACTGCCGCATGGTGCTCACCTACCACATGTGGTGGGTGTGCGCGCAGCACTGGGAGGGCCTGCGGGGCACCCTGCACCCGCCGCACCTGGCGCTCTTCCTCCTGGGCATGAGCCTCCTGACGCTGGTGCTCAACCCCTACTGGACCCACAAGAAGACGCAGCAGCTCCTCAGCCCCGTGGACTGGAACTTCGCATCGCAGCAGCCCCGGGGCCACGCCCCGCCCAGGGCCAACGGCCAGGTGCCCCCGAAGAAGGGGCAGTAGCCGCTGGGAGCCCCCTGCCTCCCCACGCCCAGCGCTGACATCGTGGCGGGGCTGTGCCCAGCGCTGCTCCAAAGAGAGGGCTTGGTGGTGCATTAGTATTAATTCCCAAGTCGCCACCAAGCGCCTCCGACGTGACTGCCTTTAGGGGCAGAACTCCGCCTACTGTTGCCTTGTCTGCAGTGGTTCCTTCCTGGGAGCCCACCCTGGGGGCGAGCTGGTCATGGAAGGTTCCGGGGAGGCGGGGCTGGGTTCGAGTGCAGGCCAACCGGCTTTCTTGCCCTCGCCTTGCTGGGCCTCACAGACAAAGGAGGGCGGTCTCACCGGCAGGCAGGTGGGAGGAGCCCAGCCACCTGTCTGTGGGGGAAACGCCCCGCCCTGGGTCTCCTCAGCCTTCAACCCGCTCTGTTCAGACCTTGTCTGTCCCCTTGGAAGGACTCGCCCCGACATAGAAAACCGTGGGACTGGTCTCCTCCTTACAAGTTCCCAGGGCGAGACTGTCCAGCCGGTGCAACAGTGCCCTCTAGGGGCCGCGCTGCAGGGGCACCCTGTGGGAGCACCCGGCCCGATGGGGGGTTGAGGGAAGTCTCGCAGGTTTTTTAAGGAAGCTGTACAAAACCAGAATCATGTGTTCACAATGAATTGCTCAGTTGACAAAATAAGGAAGATACTTAATCATCAGAATAGCCTAGATTTCAGAGACATTGCAGTTGGACTGCGTTCCAGCGGGTGCCCAAAGGAGACCCCGATTCCTTGGTGGTTTTCTCTGGATTCCAGGACAAGGTGGTAACGGCTCCCTGCGAACTGTGGGCCGACCGGCCTCGGCCTCCGGGGT